AAAAAATTCAGAAACCCACCTGATGGATCTGTTCCAGGCAATAAAAGGAACAGATCTGATCGGGTAGAACCGGTCCTGAAAGCTCAGCACCGGGTTTTATACCTGCAAGCAGGTGCAGCCCATCGYGGGCGATATTTCTGCAAAAATGCCTAAAAATGGATAAAAAAAAAAAATCACAAAATCCCAAACCACAGTGACCTTATGCCCAATAGGTGAGTTAGAAATACACACATTATTGATGTATCAATATGTCACTTCTAGTGTGTGGCCCGGCCCTTTATTTTTCTGTATTTGGCCGTCACTAAAAAAAAGTTTGGACACCCCTGGTTTAAATGGATGTTTCCAATTAATCGAATGGAATAAATTTTAATCTACTAAACCTTTATTCAACAATTAATCCTAAGTCGATTAATTGTTAGCATCCCTATTTCCCATGTTTAAACCACAAGCAGTGGACATGACTGAACTTCTTTGTTTTTTGGGCRGGTGAACAAGCCGCCGTATGTGGGGGGTTGCAATGGCAAAGAGGTTGAAAACATGGAAGTAAACTGTGCCATTTTTTGCCTGCAGTTATCACAGGATTTGTAGTTTAATGTGTACAAAGACCGGTAGAAAACTTAGCACTTCATGAACACAGATCGCATCAACCTCTGATTACTGTGCTTTACTCTGTTTATTTATGCAGCCAATGATTCTCGGGAATGATCGAAAGTAAAAAAAAAATTAAGACTTGACAAAACAAAATTTAAGAACTTGGTTGAAAATCTGGGTGTTTAAGACTTTTTTAGGCTTAAAATTTAGATTTTCAAATTTTAGACTTTTTTAGACTTTTTAAGACCCTGCACGAACCCCGTTAAAAGAAAACAAAATTTAGTAGCTTGGTTGCAGCAATCAAATTACAAAGATTTAATTTAAATGCTACAGTTTTTCGGCCAATTAATTTATTGTTATGTTACAGTTATAACATTGAAAGCTTTCTTATTAAAACTTATTATGAGTCCAAACAGATTCTGCAAGTGGCCTTCAAAAAGTAGAATAAAGGAAGAACAAATTTCTATTCTGGGTGTAATTAAATGAAAAATAAACTATCACTGGTATTTTATGAAGTACAATAATCTTGTGTTTTAGATTTTACTTCTTAGAAGTTAACTTAGCAGTAAAACATCCCCTTTGTTTCCAGACCCTGCAATAAACATCTCCATTGAGAATAAAATACAATGACTGAGACTCCCAGCTTTGTCCTTGTAAAAAGATAAATAGTGAGTCAACTTCCTTGTACGGCAGGATTTGTTCAGGGATTACGCTGTGATATGATACAATACAGAAAGAAATGCAGACAATTACACCAGTGTCTCACACACAAGGCCATTTATAATAAAGGATACTTGGCTGACAAATAAGACATCAGTAAAACAAGAGAAAGGATTGGACATTGATCATGACATTACAAGAATTGTATCTGGATAAAAATAGTGAATGTTATTATTTTTTTATGGGTTTAGAGTGTCTTTAAGTGAGAACAACACATAAGATGAGTAGCCTACGTGCAACTATCAAAGAAAAATAAAAACCAGAAATGCCTGATCACAGAGGGCATGAGATCAACTGACAAGGTGTGCTGAACTCAAGAAAAAACAAACCTCAATGAGACATGATATAATTTGCATAATAACTTCCTGTTGTGTGTCCAAACACCAGCCTGGGATCTAACTAACTCTGATGTCATCCTCTTTTTTAATTTTTCAAAAACCATCACACAACAGGAACTTCTGTTGACAGCAAGCCAACACAACCTGGAAGAACTGGACCATCCAGCTACCAAAACGTAGAAACACTAGGAAGGACACACTAGGATCCAGACACAACACAATCAGCTGATAGGGGCTTCTGTCTTAACTTTGCCATCACCTTGGTTAGTTGGACTTGTTGCTGTGGGAAACCATTAAGTTTATGAATGTTAACRGTAGCGGGTAGAGGAGGAGACTGAAGACTGAAAACCTACCTTTTCACCACTATGCTGAGGGTCTTGTGGGAGCCTTTCACTAGGCAGATWGCCTCCTTTCTGTAGCCACTCAGGGGAATCTCATTGATGTTGACAAGCTCGTCTCCCACCTGGAGACACACAGCTGCCGCCTTGCTACCCTCCTCAACCTGAAACAAAAAYAAATCCAACATACTTCATTAGTATGGTGAACTACAGTAGCTAGACAGCAGATAAACATACTTAAACAGAAAGATTTTAGCATGTTTAAGCCCAAACAGTATTTGTTTCAATCTGTTTTGTTGCAAGTTGGCTTGTTTTCAGATAAATGGTGGAAACCAGATAATTTTCATGGGGGGTGGCCAGACTAGGTCCACTGCTCAAACTCACAAGGTGGCCCAGAAAATTACCCCCCCCCACACCCACCCCACCCAGTATGGCAATTTACTTTGGATCTAATCGTGTTTCTTCATCATTCCCTCATTTACTTACACAGGCAGAGACTACCATGTAGAATTGAAACATGCAGACAAATAATCCCATTAATGTATTCATGATAGGTAAAAATTAATAGTCTGAAATAAAAATTTAATATTCATGGCAAAAATAAATAAATAAATAATTAAAAATTAAATTTTCATTACCGCAATACATCAGAAGAAAAAACAAAAAGGCTCAAAAACCATTTTTCTCCCATGCCTCTGTTTGTTTTTGCTTCGCTGTCATGTGGTAATGTGACTTGTAACATAAGCATTTTCTCCATTTCACAAAATATTAAATCCTTTAAATTTTAAGAACAGATCAGAGATCAGACATGCATCTATACACAGCAATAAAAATCAAAAACGAAGAAATGATCACAACCACAGGGAGAACAGGACGCTTGCGGACATCCAGTGTTGCTAGATTATCTTCAGCTACAGCTTTCCATAAAGATTTTTGCAGGATGAAAAATGGTGGGTGTCAATATAAAGCAAATATGACTAGTTTCTCTTATTTTACAGTGTTGAAGTAAGTAAGTAAGCAAGTAAGTAAAGTTTTATTTATAAAGCGCCTTTCACAGAAATTAGGGGTGTCCCGATACCAGTTTTTTCAAGACTGAGTACAAGTACGAGTACTTCAGTTTAGGTACTCACC